TATGTCTGACAGATTTTTTAACATCCAACATAGAATAATGTATGCTATATACTGTTAAAACTCTGGATTCTGCTATCTTCTTCTGGGGAAAAAAAAGTTTTATTACAGTAAGCAATTCAGTTAATAGCTGATCTCCCTGAATTTGTTGTAAAAGTTTGGATTTATCCTTTGTAGGGCTGATCTGTTGAAAGCACAGACTATTTCCAAGATCTCTTCCAACACTTGGCAGTAGTCACCCTCCAAATTCTATCACCCTTTTAGACTTTCTTGTGGCTTTACGTTTTAAGCTGGATCTATCACAGGCCTTAATGTAGGTCATGATTCCCTTTTGTTGGATCATGTGGTATATCTATTCTTAACACTTTGAAGAACTTACATATTGTCTTCTACAGGGGATATGCTGGTCTATATTCCCACCAATAGTGTTTAGGATTCTTATTTCTTCATGTCCTCACCAAAATTTGTTATTTCTGGTTTTATTGATATAGGCAAGTTAACCAAGACTAGAGAAGTCCCAAAGGAACGTTGCTTGTAGACAGAAACCATGCTTTGTAATTTTAACTACGATCATTCCCAGCTGTCCTACTTGCTTATAACTATGTAGTATAGCCTATTTTGTTTTCATTTGCAATTCAAGTGTAGGAAACTTAGTTACATTACGTGATTTCCTAAAGAATATTTACATCTCAATATTTTAGTTCACTGTGAAAAATGCTTCCAATTGTCCTAAAAGCCCTTCATTACATGTGTAGTAACATGAATAAAAGCATTTGGTGGAAATATAAATAAGTGTGGCTTTGTAAAAAGTGTACAAGCTCTTAAGTAACTTCAAATGCATTTCAATTTGTTACTAGGAAATGACTGTTACTAGAAGATACTCTTCCTAAATGTTTTCAATTTCGTGGTTAATTTGGAAGACTGTGTCATAAATCCGCAAGTGGGATTTTTTTTGATGTCAGCAACTCTACAATAAATTTGAAAATTTACTGTATCATTTTACTAAGATACAGATACAAAAATGAAAGATAAGATATTGGTATAAAAATAACTTGAAATACAGTCTTATTTAAATTATTTAAGTTATAATAGGATGATTACCCAATATACCTATCCCCAAATAGGATACTTATCTTGGTAACCATTTTTCTATATGGCTTCCCTAATTCTAAGCATATTCTACTTTTCTGTAGTAAAAGGAAAAGATTTTTAAGTATCAGAATTCAGACTGTATTAGTAGACTCTTTTAGGAACTATGAAAATTTAACGTTTCCATTAAATAGTTTTCTTTAGCCAAAGGCATCTCAAAAGTATAGATATTAGCCCTTGGAGGCTTGGATTTCTCTGCCAACTTTACTAATAGGATGCTACTTATCAAATAGCTCTTCTAGCACTGCCCCCAAACAAATCAGTTCTTGGCAAATTTAGATTTGATAACAATTTGATAAAAAAATGAAAAGCGAGTCTTTTTTAATTTGTAATAATAATAGTTATGAATGCTGCAGGAGTTTGACAGAGGGAGGGCAATAGAGAATGGACAAGTTCATCTAGAAATCTTAATAGTGAAGCTCCTGAGCTGAAATGATGCTTCAAATTTATGATGATTGTTAGAGGTGCTGTTATTTTATTATTTTTCCCATTCTCCTGGTCATCCTTGCTTAAGCAAAGAGGCTAACATAAAAGGGGCATAAAATAATAATGGCTAACAAAACCACAGTTTAAGGAAAAGGAGAACCAATGTGGGATCTGCCAATAAAAATGTTCCTTCTCTTTAGGGCTGGTTAACCAACTCAAATGTTTCTATTGAATTACTGGCAGACAACCAAGTGAACAGTTCACATCTCCCCATAATCACAGACACCATTTATTTGTAATAGACACTCAAACTTTATAATTATAAATGTTAGGCATGGAAAAGAACTATTAGGTCATTCCTTTTGGTTTAACTACATCAGGATTATTCCAGAAAAATCAGAAAATTCTAGTGCTTTGCTGAAAAATTTTCTACGGAAATGGAAAAATGCTTTTTTCTCAAGAAAGGCTTTCATTCTAGATTCAGAGTTACACATGTTTCAGTTTCTTTTTCACATTGTATTTTCATATTTCTTGTACATTTCTGGTTATAATGAACAGTCCTATTATTTATTCAATTATCGATAATTAAACAATTAAATGTTTAAAATATGGTGGGTCCTGCCATGATTACAGCAGCTGTTTGTCACTGTCAACAGCTATAGATAGAACAGCATCTTTTTCTTCTTACATTTTGCTTAAGTAATTTTCTGTTTTCCTATAAATCATCGTCAGGAAATACCTAATAGGAAACTAATAATACCCAACTATTAAATGCTTAATATACCAGACATTTTTCTCAATTTTATGTATTAGTAATGTCTTACTCTATTGTCATAAAAGCTATAAAGCAGGAGCAATTATCACTGCCATTTTAAAAATGAGGAAACTGAAGCAGAGAGAGGTTAAATAACTTCCCAAAGTCATACTGCTAATAAGTGGAGGAGCAACAACTGAGAGCCAGGCTCTTTTATTACAGGAACTGTCATAAACAGAGGTAAATATCATGCAGAACATTTTTAGAGGGAGTAAACTCCTTACTAATTGACAACAGAATAAAGAAAATTCTGAACAAAGTTGTATAAACTGAGAAACCCTAACCCAGAAGATAGTTGCAGAATCTGATTAAACATATGGCGAAGAGTCCAAAATATAGAAGAAGAAAAACTACTCCCTTGGTCAGCCACATATTGAAAAGAAATCAAAATTCCACTGTATCAGAAGCCACAATATTTCATTCATGCTATTTTGTATATAATTACACTTAGGTTAATTGCATAGCTTTCAATGGCGATTTTATGAATCATTGTATTTGTATGCCAAGTTTTTTAAAATTTACATTTTCAAAAAAGTGTAGGAGTTTTAATTCATTGTTCTAGATGGAAAGAAAAAATAAAAGGTAGAACCGTGTGGCTTGGTCTACTGGACAGTGCAAACAGACACCTATTAAGAACCACCACACTCAACAGAATATTTGGATCGAAGATGAGGCCTAAAGCTGAGATCATTTGTTCAAAGGAAAGTATTAAAAAACATTTCACTAGGGCCTCCCTGGCGGTGCAGCAGTTGAGCGCTGGGTTGCAAAGCTGCCCGCAGCCTCTGCAGCGCCAGTTAGATCCCCGACTGCCGGCGAGGGTTCCACATGGCACACAGACCTTTCCTGCTGCGCCCGCTGCTCCCCTCAGCAATATATTTCGTCGGTCTGCCTGTTCTGTTCCCCACTCTGGTGAATTGTCTCACGCTCCCACGCTTCTGACTATACCCAGTGCTTGTGTAAATAAATCAATCTTTAAAAAAAAAATGAACAAACAAACAAAAAAAGATCTATTTCTGTTTAAGAATACCACATATAATACCTTATTTTCCCCAATATTATCTCCATCCTTCTTCCACTTTAGTAATTACTTTAGGTCTTAATTTACTTTTCTTTTCAACTCTATCACCTACTATTTTCTGGGAATAATTACCAGACCTTTTTGAATCAAATGATTTTATTCTTCATCACCCATCTTTATTACTTAACCTCCAAAATAGCAAGCTTTGCATTTTACCACCTGTAACAAAAATCTCATCTTATGCCTCTTGCACTAGCTTGCTCCTAAGAAGCATATTTGCAAAGTTTTTCCCCCCACGCTAATATGCAGAACCCTATCCCCACCTTATTCTCTCAGCATTTATCAATCTAGTTCTGGCTTCAAGTATTGATCACTTCCCAGAGCAGATGATCTGTAATGCTATTCTGAAAGGTTAGAATCTCTTAACCCTGCACTATAGTTGAATAATTCATAAGCAGAAGGAAAACTCCAAGATTTGCTCTTCAACTTCTGGGCTGTTGTCATGATACCACAATAATCATATCCCAGGAAAATTCATTCTAAGTTATCATGGCAAGACCCTCTTCTGCTCTCTACTTCTGGCATTCTACTTACTGATTGTTCAAGTAGCAGAAAGAAGTGGTGATGTTACCTTACAGTGCTAGGCTGGCTAAGAAGCTTGTTTTTTGTTTTGTTTTGTTTTTTGTTTTTTTAATGCACAGAAGAAGGAACTAATAGAAAGTGATTACAAAGGAGAGCAACACTAAAATCTGTGCTAGAGATAAGAAACTAGTCTTATGAAAGAGAAAGGCCATCTTCTCTGAGACAGAAGAGAAGATAACAATACAGATAACTGCTGAGGACAATAAGGTAAATGAGGAATCCCAGGGTAGACTTGGCTACATTAAAAGGTAAATAGGTCAATTAGAGAGAGGTGAAAGTTGGGAAGAATAAAGCAGATATTATAGGACTTTTCAAAGAGACATACTGTTCTAAAGAGAAGGAAACCAAAACTTTACAAAGTCATAAAGAAGAAAAGCATCTATTATGAACTAACAGATATATACATGCTTCATGGCAATTATCTCAGGAAACCACAGAACATGGGATAAGTAGGAAAATGATGCACAGCAAGGTTTTGCTAGAAGTGGCAATTTTAGAAAAATTGGCTGAAGAACAAAGCAAAATATTGTTACAATAGGGATTAAATATATAGGGATTCATTATCCTATTCACTCTACTTTTGTAGAGAGGTACTTGTGTACCTTTGGCAATGTTTTTGAACTAACCTAGTCATCACATAACCTCAGGACCAATAGCTGACTTCCCTCAGTAAGCTCAAAAATTTGCCTGAACTTTCCAGAGAACTTTAGAAATTTCAGAAATTCAACTGATAGAGATACATATACTCTAGAGACTTTAAAGTTCAATGAAGAGAAGGCAAAAATAGTTCTATTTGACCAGGATTTGTTCAATATTTGTTTGAGGGCATGAGAAATAGCGCATTAAAATTAGGCTAAGTGTGTCACAGTAACAAACACAGTCAGAAGATAAAAGTAATGATGAAAAGTATTTCTACTAAGGGCAGGCCTGGAAAATAAGATTATAAGCACTTACTTCATCTCCAGAACTTCTTCCAAGTGTTTTCTTCTCTCTGCCCGAAGATTGGTCAAATGAGTTTCCTTTTCTGCCAGAGACTGCTGAGTAGAGGATAATTTTGCTTTCATGGACTCCAGTTCCTGCTTTACTTTCTCCATGGCCATCAGTAACTCCTCCACCTATGATAAATGTGAGAGAGAGAAAAACTCAGTATTTTCATTAATCAAAGTCAGAGGCATATGGCAATGGGCACCACTGGGGTCTACAAAACTGAAAACACTTAGAAAAATCTGTACCCTTTCTATAGAACTGACACACAGCAAGGAGGTAGAAGAGATAATGAAATAAATCTCTGACCATCTCTCCAATATAATTCTTCTCAGTTCAGGTTAGAAAAAACTTCATTTTCTTTTTGATAAACAAAAGGGCATATAACTTATCAGTTCAAAAAGACACCCTCTGTCACAGACATAACTGTTCAAAGAATTTATTTGGAAATGGTCCAGAAAGTCTCATGGAAATAACAATGTAAAGCACATAAAAATATAAGAAACAAAGTCATGATCAATATTTATAGAAGGATTTTAGGAAATGAAAGACAAATTCAGTAATAATAGATTCAGCATACATATGAGTCATTTTATTCAACCAAGCTAAGAGTTTTCACCATTAAAAAGATTTTATTTTCAAAGAACAGATTTTAATCAGCAATCAGCAACTGTGCCAGACAGGTAAAGTTCTCAAGGAAGGCAGGAAGAAAAATATGAGCAGAGAGGAGACAAGCAGTTAAAAAAAGACCTGAAAAATTACCAGGAAGGATATAGAGTGCTGAAACACAAGAAATTAAGAGCAAACTATGTACTTTATAAGCCATTTCCATTTACTTTAGGTGATCCCCAAATCAAAATTTAAATTAACATTTTCATTGTCATTTAGAAGCGAAAAATATCCATTATTACCAAAACCAACCTCAACCAGGTAATCAGTCAACTGCACCAATGCAGAGTGTATGTCAGGTTGCTGCTTGCCAAGAAATAATTTTGGTGATGACAAACTTTTCATGGTAGAGAAGTGGGGGGCAGAGTAGATAGGGCCTCTGCCACTTACTGAGTCCTACATAAAACCAATTTGTGTGACAATGAGAACAGCTAGAGACAAAACTGTAGTCCTAACAAGTAAGGGTTGTTAGAAGTAAGGAGGCTGTTGTCCATTCCTGGGTAGTGCCTCACACCTAACCAAAGTCTCCCTGTTGACTGGTAACAGCTGTGGAACCCTGGGGGTAAACAGATACTCCAGATTTTTTGATACCTGAGTTAATTTACTGTGTCTCCTTAAGATAACGTGTTCACCATTTTCATAGATTCAGCTGCTGTAAGAATGCATATTATTATACAGATTCCTTGCACGTTATGGCAGTATTCTGATATCTTCATTAGAAGCTTCTCAATCTCTTACCAAAATGCTTTCTTACCTCAATAATAATCAGTGAAGTTAAGCATGTTTCATTTGTTTGGAACCATATATATTTCTTCATCCCTGAAACTCAGTCAAATCTCTGCTCTTACCCTCCACCCACCCCCACTTGTATTTCCTATTCTTGTTGATGTGGAAGAATTTTAAACAAATACAAATAAATGTACAGCAGTTTCCTCTTATAGCCATGGTTTCGCTTTCTGCATTTTTTGGTACCTGTGGTACAAAGCTGTCTGTTGTGCCAACAAGCTTAGGGTAGGTTCTCTATTGATTTGGGCAGATGGGTAAAGGAGAATCCTGGAGCCCTCAGTGGCTTTTTCAGGCTTTAATGATCTTTCTATACCAACTGCAGTGCAGCTACCAAGCGCAAGGCAGATAGGGGGCCGGGGGGACCTGGAGGCTGGTAGACCTCCTAACCCCTGGCAGATCTTTTTTTTTTTTAAATTTTTTTTTTTATAGAGGCATGTTTTATTTATTTATTTTATTTGTTTGTTTGTTTGTTTATACATGCACTGGGTACAGTCAGAAGCGCGGGAGGGTGAGAGAATTCACCAGAGCCAGAGCCGGGCGCAGAGCAGGCAGAAGGACCGAAGTACACTGCTGAGGGGAGCAGCGGGCGGCAGGAGAGGTCTGCGCGCCATGTGGGATCCTCCTCCGGTGGCCGGGGAGCAGCCGGGGATCGAACCGGCGGTGCAGAGGCCGCGGGCAGCTTCGCAACCCAGCACTCAACCACTGCACCACCGGGGAGGCCCCCCCTGGCAGATCTTTACTCGTTCTTTGGGCTCTCTCTGGTGTTATCTTGTGGCCCTGCCTCACTGTAGTCATTTGTCCTCTTGTAACCACTCTGTTTTCTGCCGCACTCTGTGCTCTGTATGATACTGTCCTTATATCCCTGACCTCCTAGGCACAGGTGTGCACCTACGCATGCCCACACCTTACTCCAGGTGTCTACCAGGTACACATGCCCCAGGCCCACGCTCCCAAGCGCCTCCTGGATTAGCACAATCAAGGCCGCATGTGATAGCCACAGAGGCCAGTGTGTAAAAGCCTGACCACTTTTCATTTACCCTACATAGTCCCCAAATAATCACATACAGTTAGATACTGAGAGACACATTCACATATTTATTATAGTATATTTTTATAATTTTATTTTATTGTTGTTAATTTCTTACTGTGCCTAGTTTTATAAATTAAGCCATATGATGGGGTGTATATGTGTGTACATATATATAAACATATGTATAAAAATACATACATGAAAAAACAGAATATATATAGGGTTCAATACTATCTCTGATTCCAGGCCCAGTGGGGTCCTTGGAATCTCTCTCCCACAGATATGGAAGGACTACTGTATCGTCTATATAGCAACCTTTTATCAATTATATGTGTAACAAATCCCCTCTTCCAAGATTGTGGTTTATGTGTTCCGTTCATCATGGTGTCTTTTGATGATCAGAAATACTTCTGATTAATCTAATTGAATTTATTAAGCCTTTATTTTAGGATTTGTGCCTTTTATATCCTTCCCTATATCCAAGGTCATATGATATTTCCTACTCTAATAATGACTTCAGTAAGTAGATTGAATTAGTTGCCCCTATTATCCATTCTGCTGGAGTAATAGCATAGATCCACATCCTTGCCATGGCCTCATGGTGGGCAGAGTTTCATGACCTCTGATTTTGGCTACACGATCTGAACTGCTTCAAGCAATGGGATGTTAGCAAACCAGACACGTGCTAAGGCGTACACTCCCTGTGGTTGGGTCACATTTCTGCCGTTGCCAAGAAAACAACATTCTGAGTAGTCACTGCTCTCATTTGAGTCCGAGAATGAACCACCAGGTTAACAGCCACCCCAGTCAACAACTAAAGCAGAGTCAACTACGCTAAACCACTTTAGGGAAAACAGGGTAAAATCAGTTTTTGTTTTTGCCTCCTGCCGCTAGCCTCTACAGCCTTCACCTGCAGTCTTGTTTTCTGCCCAGGTTTCATTGCCCACATGCAATATCATATTGGTGCCAAAGGCACTTGGGAGTGTGAGCACCAGGCATGTGAACTTGTAATTGCGGGGACCTTGCCAAGACGTCAGACAGCACAGGGCACAGGAACCCATGAGTGTGGACATCCTGGAGAAATCATTACAAGGTAAGACAGATTAAGAGTGTGAGACAGAAAACACCAAAGAGAGAGAGCATGCAGATCACAGGAGGCTTCGGGGCGGGGGGCCTCCATTGATGCCTGCCTCCCAGCCCTCCGCCTGCTGTTCTGCCTGTGTTCAGGCCCTGGCTACAGCACTAAAGGCCAGTCAAATCTAAAAAGGGCTCCAAGATTTCCTGTCTGCCTGAATCTTCAGTGATTCTGCCTATCCAGGGGTGCCTGGCCTTGGCCTGGGATGGTCTGCCCTACACTAATTTATGTAAGAAAAAAATGTGTATTGTTAAATGATATTAGGGTTCTGCAGAGAAACAGAACCAACAGGATATATACTGAATATACTACGTGTGTATATGCATACACATACACACAAACAGACTGTATTAAAGCAAACAATACAATGCTATATTAATATAATTAGCATATTAATATAACATACATTATAAGTATAATGAGCTTATATTACAAAGGCTTTTAAGTTTACCCAAAAGTAAGTAGTATAATTTTTAATAGATGTCCTTTATGAGGTTAGGGAAACTCCCTAATCTGCTAGCTTAGCTAAAAAATTTTAAATTATAATGCAAATTTTCTATATTTCTTAAGATAATCATGATTTTGCCCATCATTTTTTAATGTGGTAGACTATATATAGAAAGTTTTCTAGTGACACCATTCTTGATTCTTTCATATTTTTCTTTTTCACGTACATTAAGATTGACAATATCTTTTTTAGGGATTTTTTACTTTTATATTCATGGTTGAAACAGGCTTAAACTTTTCCTTTCCTGTATTAATATTGTCAAGTTGTGATATGAAGTTGTTCTAGCCTTAAAAATATGATGGTGACTCATTGATCCTTCTTATGTATTTTCTGGAACTGTTTCTACAAGAGTAAAATTATTTGGCCTTGGTAGATTTATTAGAAATAAGCACTATAATTCTTCAGGCATGAAATTTGTGGGGAAAATTTTTATCACAGACTATTTTTTTCAGATTTTCTTTTCCATATTTAGTGAGTTTTGCTAAGTTCCTTTTTCTGACATTTACTCATTTAGCCTAAATTTTCAAATATAGTAGTAGAGAAATGCCTATATGTTTAATACACACAGTATTGAAAGTTATGAACCTTTTATCATTCTAATCTGTTCACTGGGCCTTCTTTATATATATATTTTTAAGTCTCATAGAAAGTCAAGTTTTGTAGGGCTTTCAAAGGACCAGTTTGGGATCTGTGGATCCTTTATGAAAAGGAAAAGAAGGCTGGCTGGTCTATCAGACTTTTCCCCTTGGCTGCAGTGGACTTTTTCTTTTGTCCTGCCAATATACACAAATCAATATTCAAGTTCACCAGCTTATCAAGTATTTACCTTTGAATTCCCTGTCTATTCATGTCCTGACCTGAAAATGTCATACTCTCTCCAACTTATGAGTCCATATTTTATCAAGCATCTTCAACTGTTTCTGTGGACGTTATTTTCTCAGCATCCAGTGGGCCATGTTTACAGATATGCTTTACTTTCATTCCAAAATTTCTCTAACAGACT